ATATATATATATATATATATATATATATATATATATATATATATATAAAATGACCTCTGAGATTAATTAAGTGACAGAAACAAAGTAGAGAACAATATGCATAGTACACAACCAATGGTTTCTGATTTTTTATGTCCTACACACTGAAGCAAGCCCAAACATAAAACATCCCTGGGTGAATAGAAAAGAAGTTAGGACAGAATTTAAATGAGAAATATACAATTCTGTAATTATAATTGGAGATTTTAATAGAACTAGACAATGGTGAATAAATAAAACCACTGGTGATCTGAACACTATCAACCACCTTGATCTAATTAGCATTTAGAGAATAACACACCCAACAACTCTGCAAAACACATTCTTTTCAAGATACTATGATAGACCATATGATGGGCCATAAAATAAGTCTTTATAAATTTAAAAGGACTGAAATAACAGAGCATGCCAAGAAACTCCCAATATTTGGGAATTAAACACTGCTAAAAACTCATAAATCAAATCATGGGTTGTATTAATTTAACTACCCCCTTTAGAAGCAACTGCTTGAGATTAAAAAAGATATTGCATTGTTAATTTCTTGTTACCATCATAAAGCCTTGCGGGAACTTAGGTTCTCAAAAAAATTGTTATAACTAAACTATAAAATTAAAGCAACCTACTTTTATTACTTTAAAATGCCTTTTATTAATCTCTTTTAGAACTTTCTAACATTCTATTCATATTCATTTCTAATTTAAAATATTCAAATTAAAATATTATACAAAAAGATTTACTGATAATGAATCAAAAAATATTCTCATACTCTGGAAACAAGTCACTAGAGAATCTTTTATTTCATTGTGTTACAGAGAAGTTAGCTGCCTTCTAAGTGGCTTTATACTCTTATCCTAGTCTCCAACTCTACAGAGGACAACAGGTATGTATATAATTACACAGCAGCAATTTATCTGGGTATGAATTAGTATTTATTATACAAAGTATTCACCAGATGCTAACAGTTCTCATTAGATTTTTCATAGGAAAAGTTGTTACTATCACTAATTTTAGTTCACCAATAAATAAGAAGCTATAAAACATAATATATAAAATAACTCAAAAATTAAAAAAATAGTGTTTACTGTTACATAAGTTCTAGAAATACTATGGAAAACTATGTAAGTACTTAGAAATACTCAAAAAAATATCCTCCAATTTCATCAGGGAAGCTGTTACAGCATCTCCAAAGGATTACAAGAACTACAAAACTTAACTAGAAATTTTTTTGACCACATTACAAATTTATTCTAGGCAGTAATTTCCATGTTTAATAGCATGATTGGACAAATTCATTAAATAAGCTAGTAAGTATCATGTTTTTGAAAAATATCTAATAAAAACAGAAAACTGTCACAAAATGTTAAATGAAAAAAGGAAAAATCTCATTTTGTGTAAATCTAGTAATGTAAAAATGCGTGGACATGCATAGAAAAAGACTAATAAAACAATGAATAATTTTCTTCATGGTAATTTTCTGAATTTTTCAAATTTTCTGTAATAGACATGATTTCATTTTATTAAAAATTTTAAAAGAAATATGTAGCTTTATACTTACATTAGCCACCTTTTCAACATAAGTCTTCATTGTTTTCACAATCACTTTCCTGTCCTTTAAAAAGAACAATGGTCTCAATTAACTTGTAATTATAGATTAAAGGTATTTCATAGTCAAAAATTTTATATAATACTGAATTGTCACTTGAGTGGCATATTTTTCATTAGTGAATATAGTTACGCAGCCAGAACGAAAAAAAATTGCAATATACTATTAGAGGCCTTTCAGAGCTATTATAATCTAGACTTGTATGTGATAATCCATTGAGACGTAAATACGGAACCATAAAATTATTAGCTGCAAGGAAACCTAGTGAAACTACCTTTTACAGGGAGAACTGAGAGATCCTTCTTCCAGTGTCTGAACAGTCTTCAAATGCATGAGTCTAGCTTACAGATGACATTCAACACATACTTGTTGAATTAAAATTAAATTTATATAAATTTAAAAAGTGGACAAAGTACAACTGTCTTTTAAAGGTAGAATTTTATTGATCAAAAAGTGAGAATCATTTGTTAAACTTCTGTAATTAATATGGACTTTTACCTTTTCCCTCAAAGTACTTAATACTCACATGAGCAAATCTGTAACTGTTCACTGTATCCTCCCACCTCTCCCTCCTCCATTAAGATCATTAAATGAGGAATCGAAGAGCTTGACAGGTACCAAAACTTCTGTGACTGTAAGCCTAACATAAATATTGTGCTTATTTGCTTGAGAGGTCCCTCCTCAAACAATGAAAACTCAAGGTTTTCATACTTTAATGAAAACTCCAGCAGAGAAGAAACACTAGGCCCAAAGAAAAGCCAACTGCTGGGAAGCTCAGAGGCACAACTTTGTGAAGATAAAGCTGTTTATGCACAACACGGCTAAGACCAAAGGAGACAGAAAGTCTACGTTACGGAAAGGCAAGCCAAGCTCAGACACACTTACCTTGGGAGTGCCGTGCCACAGGCAGTGCATGGCCACTCTGGCACCATCGTGTGTGTGGGCCAGGTATACCACTGCTTCACGGATGGCTTCAATCATTTCCTGGGAAACAGATAACCATCGAGGCTTTGGTTTATTCTTTCTGCCTTAAAAAAAAACACTGTCTACTGGGGAGCTGTTATGTGCAGAGACTAAAAAACAGTATAGGTAGCAAACAATTTCATGTTTCATTCTGTGGACAATTACACAGATACATAACATCTTTCTAGAAACATTCTTTTCCATCGAGGGTAACAAATACTGCTGACAAGCAATTTCTATTAAAATACCATTTTATAATATGTCTACATTAAAATACAATGTCTATTCGAAAAAGCATGTACATATATAGTATATCCTAAATGAATTTCAAGAAAAAGAAAGTCAGGAGGTGGTTATGGTCAGAAGTTAATAAAAAAGCCAGATTAAAAAAAAAAAAAAAAGCTCTTCTCTAAAAGAGACATGTATATAATGAGCAGAGACCCAAAACACTAATTTTGGCTGAAAAAGTTTCTCCTTTTTGGTTTATCACTAGATTACTTCTAGAAATCATATTAACAGTTCACCACAAAACATTTCCCTAAGAAAAATTAATCTCTCTATTAGACTAGGCCCTCAGTATCAATGACCTTTGGTAAAAACCCAATCATTAATTTCTTACAACACCGTTTAGTTTATTTTTAATCTTTATTCTTCATTTTCAATTCATCTAATTTCTTATATTTTAGAAGTCGAGCATATAGATATAAATGAGTTCTGGCAGCTAACAGCAGAAGGGCCCCATTTTAGTGCAGTCACAATTTTAAAATTTAGATTAAATAAAGAAATAAATACAAGGTATTCATTCTGTCAGGAAAAAGGTGGGCGCTTATTTTGATCAATAAGGAACAAGCAATTTCACCCTTAACTACCTTACAACCTCTTCCCAGGATGAATCTCAACAACACGCTTTCAGCTTGCATACCTAAACTTCTGAACCTCTTCAAAGCTATCTAACTGGAGAGTTATACACATATTCCAATTATGCTTCCACTATCCCCAAAGGTTTAAGTCTGACTTTTGAAAATGCCCCCAGGACCAGAAAAGATTTGTCTCATCATTTTATATTCACACTAGGTTCCCAATGATTTTTTGCTATTACTAAAAAAGATTTTTCCACCACTGAATATATTAAAACAATCATTTCCACAGTTCTGAAAATATAGTCTTACCTCAATACCAGACTAAACCCAGAATTGTGAGATACTGTGCTCTGCAGGAAAGGGAAAGAACTCCCCAAAAGAGAAGCAGCAGCTGCTACTGTCACTGAACCACAAGCTTAGGTGGGTGGCTACTCTTGGAAAATTATCTTCTATGTCAATTTTGAGAGGGTTAAAATTTCTATGAATGTTTAGTCTAGCATATTTGTTAAGAAGTCGATATCATTATTTTAGTTATACCTGATATTCTAATGCAATGAGGAAAAAATAGATGATGAGTTCACTGTGTGACGAGGCAAGCAAAGTTCAGGGAGCTAAACAATGAATTCTCATTTGTATTCCCATCACTGGCTTGAAGGGCAGTGTAATTTACCTGCAGTCTGTTTCCTTTTCCTTCTATCATATAGGGTCCAGTTTTTCACAGTCCATTTAACTTTGCGTAAGTGTCCTCTCCTAACCTTTTAATGCCAACATAATTTTTCGTTTTTCTTTTTTTTTAATATCGGCACAGGTGAATTTCAAACTACCTGAATGATGAACAGTCCTCTGTTAGTTCATTTTCAGATTAGGTTAGCTAGAGGATACTCTTTGGATTATAATTAAAATATAAAAATGCAATAGAGTTGATAAAACTATGGTCAATCCTATTGTCTGCTGGCAAAAATATAAATGCAATTAGCAGACTTGCTTTATCTTCTCTAAGGAAAAACTCCTTAAAATTTCCAAAAGACAAAGTACATCAAAGCAGTGTTTCACATTTTAACATGGCTTTTCTTCTATGTTTGGTTTAAAAACTAAAACAAAGAACTTACTGATCTTAGCTTTGGGGGTGCATAGGTAAAAAAGTCCAAGAATACTTTATGTACCAAAGAGTGCTTAATCACAGCTTCCCTGAAAACAAATAAAAGAGAAGAGAAAACATTAGATCTGGCACTACAGTAAGACAAACATAGGTAACTTTGGTTGCCCTAAAATAATCAAAACAAGTGAAATGGTTTTAGCAAATGTAATTTGTCATAAGACAGAGCTTATCTTTTAGCAATACTACGATTAAAAAACAACACTCTCAGATTATAAAAGTATTTTAGTGTCTACAACCTAAACTAGGGTACAAATTTCTAGTATTTAATCAGCAAAGATGAAATAAATCATCAAAATACATTCTACTTTTTTAAAATAAGGAGATCTATTTTTTACCCAACGATGAACATGCGATTGGATATCCACACATGGACCTAATCTGTATGGCTATTTTCTTTCTGTCAACCATCCTTCACAATGCATCAGTTTCATAAAATAATTTTAGCAAAATTAAAACCTGAGTATATCAAAACTGCAACACCTATAATTGATGCAAACTTCCTAGTGTGACACTTGAATTCAGGTGTACAGCGGAGGCTAATGATCAGCCACCAAAGGCTTCAAGTTCACACTGAGTGTCTAAGTAGATGGTAAAAACATGTTGCCTTTATGGGCAAAGCACTGTTCGGAGTGTTTTGGAAATATCAACCCATTTAATCTTCATAAAACTCTATGAAATATCTACTGTTATTATCCCAATTTTATAGACATGGAAACTGAGGCACAGAGAAGTTAAGTTGCCGAGGTCACACAGAAATTTAGGAGGTCACCAGGATTCACACCCAGGCTGCGCCTTAACCACTCCACTATGGTACAAATGCCAAGGAGGCCACATTCTCGGATTTCCAAGTCTCACAATTCAACTTAAATAACAGACTATATTTGGAAAAGTATCCATCTTTCCTATGCAAGAGTTACACAAAACTTTCCTTCTTCAAATACTATTTGTTAAGAAAAAACAAAACGGCTTTCTTACTTTTGGGCCATTGGCGTTAGAATCTGTTTCATTTCATCCATGATAAGCTCTAGTTTTTCTGGGTGTACCTCTAATACTTTGTCCAGAGTTGGGTGATCTGCTGACTGCAAGAGAAGAAAAATCAAACTCTCGTAAATTTAATCAAGGTTCTTCAGCTTCGTAGCAAAGAAAATCAATTACAGTCATTTAAACAAGCAAAATAAATTTCAGATAGCCCATACACATATAACAAAAGCCCTGCTGTGGACATACTCATGAAATAATTCTTGATTATCTGATTCTCAGATGTAGCTGAGCCAGGCTACACAGCCAACCAACTCAGCCAGCCAACAGGCACTTGCCAAGCACCTGGCACATGCCTAGTCACAAGATCAGTCAGTTAGTAGTTCCTTGCTACCATATGCTTTGTAAATCACCTGTATATTCCTATAGTGACTGTTAAAAAAGAAATAGGGCACTAAATTCCACCCAGGAACCGAACCTGACTAGCAGTGAAGGCAACCTAAGAATGAATTCATACCCCTGGAGATTAGTGTGGGGATGTGAGTCCCAAGGTCTGCAACAGATCCTGTAACCGTCCTAGTTCCATCACTGGCCTTTTTCAGTTCAATCCCTGTACTATATCCAAAGGTGGGTCTCTCTACTCCCTTTCCGCTCTACATACAACCTGGAGAAGGGTAATTCACACACATGAAGAAACACAGGAAAAGACAGCAACAGGACACCTGATGCACTCCAGCCAGAGCTGGTTAGCGGGTGGTTACAAAGCTTCACTAACTGTTAAGTCCTCTACCTCAGTCTAGCTGACTGTAGAAACAAAAGTGCTGAAGCATTACACAGAGCACTTGAGAGGGAGTAACAAAGTAGTTCTAAAGAGGATTTAAAGATAGAGCTCCGGGAGAAAAAAAGTAATCACTTGCTCACTACACCAGAGACAAAGTAATCCAAGAGAAAAAGGGTGAGATGGTCTCTTAGAGGACCAGCCGAAGTAAAAGCACATTCTGAAAACAGGACATCAGAAGGTAAGGAATAACACATAGAAAATGTAAAAACGCTAGAAAAAACGTCGTGAAACGTTACCTTGTAAAGCTGAAATGTGTTCCCGTAGAGCTCCTCTGTCAGCATGTTCCTCTGCTCCAAGATGGCTTTGTCATTGTAAGCGTACTCCACAATGGCCGAGGCCTCTGCGTGCCGGAGCATCTTCCTCACGTGGCCTTTAAAACTTCTGATGATCTCTGCAATCTGGGGTTTACTCCTAACCCCAATGTGACAGTGGGAAAAGATGAGTGTTACAAGGAGAAAGCTGGGTGACAACAAAACATAATTTGACACCAACATAACTCCTGAGGCCAGCGCATCATTGGGGCAGGGGTGGGCGAGTGCCTTCTACAGAGAAATGCTTACGTGAAGAGAGGTCAATACTACCTTGTATTTCTACCTCAAGCTTTCTAAGTTACTCAGTAGCCAGCCTGCTTGGGTTTGAAATTTAGCTCTGCTTGCCAGCTAAAAGACCCTGAGCAAGTTATTTAACCTCTCTGTGCCTCAGCTTCTTCATTCAGAAGGTAGAACGAGACTGATGTGAGGAATAAATGAGTTAAGATGTATGGAAAACTGTGATCAGCATGTAATAAGTGCTCAATAAATGTCAGTTCCGATTTTAAATTGTTCAGCTTGAAAAAAGTAGGGAAGGATAAAGGGATAAGGTGAAAGTCAAAGATGCACAGAAATATGAATAAAACATACTCTAAGGATGCTCTTTTAAAACAGAACTTAATCAAGTATTTATATTACATCCTAAAATAATGAAGCAGCTGATAATTACAGTCAGGAATAGTTTTTGAAAATTTTGTCAACAGTTTTTTGTTGTTGGTTAGCATATTTTGGCAATTATTACACTCAAAAAGAGACATCAAGACAAGTATCAATTCTACCTAATTTAGGAAATCCTCCCATCTTGACATTTCCTGACCCATTGACTCTGCCTGCCTCAGTCTACTCACCTGCCCCTCCCAACCCTCTACCCTCTAAATGCTGGTAACAAATTACAAGTTAATTCTTTCACTTCTGTTCTCCAGGGCTTCAAGATACACTCATAAGAATGATGAAGGCAGTACCATCATTTTACATTAATTTCAATACTTGTTTTTAAAACCATACTCCCTGGAAATATCACAAGCACTTGCTCAGGGCCATTATTATGGTCACAGACTTTTAAGTAACACTGCGCACCATCATTATCCACACCTTTAAAAAAACTAGTAAAAACATATTTTATAAATAAAACAACTCACCCATACATGAGAAATTTCTTAACAATATTTCTGGAATATTTAGCTTTACTTAATTCAACCAAATCATCTGAAAAACAAAATACATTACAATGATTCCTCAGAAACAAAGGAAAGAACTAAATAAATGCAAAATCCTGAGAACACAAATAACTCTCTATTTCTCCCAGGCAAAGAACAAATAAAAAGGTCCTACAGAGGACACACTGCTTTCCCAGGATGCAATTATCTTCCAGGACAGTCCTGGGTGTTTCAAGAGAAAACAAGTGACTAATTAAAAATGATTACAATTAATCTTCAATATGTAAGAAATACCTCGCAGTTCTTCAAAAGCCTGTTTTTTCTGTTCTTCATTACCATGCTGAATGTAACACTGGATCACACGAGTTGAATCATGTGCAAATGCAATCTGCAGGAAACATAGTTTGGGCCTTTAGACTGAATCTCTGAAGATTTATGTTTCTATCATAGTAGTGATGTCTTATTGCTACCTCTTTTAGAATTCCTTGTTAGAAAAAAGGTAGGGTCTTCTTGGATAAAATTAAATCTAGGTTAACTGGGAGTACAAATGCTTGCTTTAATTGTACAAAATGGCTATCTTTGGTTTTGCTGCCTACAACATGGCACTGAGACAGGAATAGATTTAACCATTTTGCAAGATTCCTATCATTACTAATTAAAACAAAACCAAATCAAACCAAACCTGTCCAATGATTATACATGTTATTTCACATTTCTCTGAAAGTTATTTTCCCTATAAAGGGAATTTTCCAATTCAAACATTCTGTTATTCTATGATTTTTTTTTAATATAAATGATCTAAGAATGTGTGGCTGTGGCAAGCAAAGGTAAAATGTAAGATAGATCTAAAGTCTTGCTATATAAGTAAAAATATCTATACACACATTGGTAATGATATTATAAGGTAATCCCTCCATTTCTCACATTTTCATTATGATCCCCAAACATATATCCAGTTATATTCCTAGAAATATGTTGTATTTCCAATCTGATTCTCCAATCCATCTCCCCACCACAACTACTGAATGGGTCAGTTCTTCAATGAAGGACTTACTGATAAGTATCTATAGCAGTAACCACAGTCAGCCATGCAAAATTATTTACTATGCTATATTACCAGTCTACTTTAATAGTGCTTATTATTTGTTGCTCAGTCTGTCTTTAAAATTTTTTAATTCCAACAAACCAGAACGTAAAAGTACATCTCCAAAGTCTGTGGATTTCATAAGAATTTCCTTAAGGGAAACCTGTACAGACATTTCTGATAAAACTAAAAAAAAATTTTATTTTAAATAAGGCTGTTTTGTGCATGTATTGATTACTTACTAAACAACCAACAAACAGGCTTTAAATATAGTTTTCTCATTTAGACCTCAAAGCAACCTTAAGAGTGGGCTGTTGTTATTTCCATTTTACAGATGAGAAAAGTTAAGTTTATGAGAAGTTAAGGAACTTGCTATCCCTGTGACCCTGGGGATGAAACTTAACTTAGTCTGAGTCCTAGATGTATGAAATGTCTAATAGGGATACTGACCTTAAGGGAAAGGACACAACATATGCATTGATGCTAATGTAATTCTTAGCAAACCAAGTAATAAATAGATGGGACACTGTCCAAAAGCACACATATGTTAAGCAGCAGAGAGAGGATTTGAACACCAGACTAACTCCCAAGTCCATGGGCATGTAGTAAACAACCCAAGGGTAATTGGGAAAGGATCTTGACAATTATAAATTGAGGGTAATAGACTACTAGAGCTGAGGAGCAGTTCTAGTCTAAAAAGATCTTGCTGGGTTTGTAAGAAAACAGCTGCTGGGAACTTGCTATTTCAAGACATGCCTTCAAACTGCACTCTAGTCTCTGGATAGACCTATGCATGTGGTTTGGCAAAGGCTGCCCCTCCAGTGTCCCCAAACCACGAAGTCTGTTGTATTACAAGTGAACAGTCACTAAGTATTCAGCCAAATACACGAGTCAATAGAAGTTTATTATAAAACAGTATTAAACAGCAACAAGGAAAATTACTTTAGAATCCCTCATCTATTATATTTTAAAGATCTTTGCATGTGTGTAAAAGCATGGGAGAAAAGAAAGAAGTAATCATGTTTGCATCACACAAGAAAAAAAAAAAGCCAGCAATTTAGAACATGGAAAAGTATATGGAATTCAGAGCAAGACATTGTAAGAGGTATTACTGAACTAGTAAATTCAAGATAACTTAAAAGAACATCAATTTATTTTAACTAAGTTATCGGGTGTCGGAAAAGTCATGATGTATTTTTCGGTTTTTCGTTGCAAAAATGCGTCATGCATGACTTTTCTGACAACCCAATATTAAAAAATGACACAGCTTGGGGGGCGAAAAGGATAACTATTGCATTGTTTTGTACACCTGAAACTAATAATGATAATAATAATAATAATAATAATAATAATAATAATAAAATGACACAGCCAAATACTTAATAGTGCTTTTACAATTCCCCAGCAGTAAGTTCCCTCACTATTAAATTTTTTATTTAGCCAGTATTATAAAAGATATTTGAAATTTTTGGCCAAATACATTTAAAACAAGAACAATTTCACTTGTCATGAATGGTCAGCTACCTTATACTGGGAGTAAATCAATTTCAATTGTTAAAAATGCAACTATAAGTATGCCCTACTTACAGTTTTAATTTTTCCTTGAATCAACTTCTGCAGATCACTCATCAACTTCACTCTTTTTTCTTTGTCACAGTCTTTTCTATAAATGAGCATAAAAGAGGGAGGAAACGTAGATTTACATAAAGACGTTATTTTAAACACGCAAAAAAAAAATTTCAGTGTATGTTCACCCAGTTGAGTATGATTTTCTTTTCGAAGGCAGCAAACCTTTTGACATTAAAATGACTATTCCCGAGCAGCCAGAGAAAGCAATTTTCTCAAAGGCAGAAACTCATCTCACAAGGAATAATTTCATGCATCAATCTAAATCTTAATAGCCAGAACTTCAAAAGTAAAGAAAATAATAAAACAAGTCCAAGATACCAAATACTAAGTATCTCAAAACCTAGCCGGTAAGAAATTGTCCTTCATTTCCTTAGAAATCTTTCAGGAAGGTTATCAAATCCAATTTCACTCTCATACATTTTCATAAACACATCTGACACCATCCTAATGGGTCCACACCTTTCCTGCAAAGGGCAGACATCCAAAGACTGATGCCTCTATTGGAGGGTGATGAGTACTCCCTAAAGAATCCAAGTGCTAAGTCATTCATTTTAGGACATCTCACTGTTTACAGTGTACACTGTTGCGCCTCCTTTATCTCAAAGGGACTAATAAAGATGCCAGTGAGTAGCATTACCTTCGTAAGATCTCCCAAATCTGCTTTGCCCGAACAACAATGTCATAGTTGGTTCTATCACTAAGTTGTCTGCTTTGCTTCAGTTCTTTCTTCTTCTTTTTGAAATCATCCCATTTGGGTTTCTTGGCTGCTGATTCTAGTCATTATAGAAATTATTTTCAATTACATTTAACATTCTGAGTGCCATAAACAAATACAAATCAGGTACACAGGGCAATTACTGATCAGGATCTATACTCATTGAGGAAACTAAAAGGGGGAAAATACCGGGGTGCCAAAAAAATGTATACAAGTGGACACTTTAGTCAACATTGCTCAAGCAGTAGTTGGCCGTAATGAGAAGTGTCTAGATGCTGATGGTAACCACTTTGAGCACCTTTTGTAATTGCAGAAGTCAAATGTGACTTGTATTCATCTTTTGTTATTGGTATATATTGAGTATTACAATTTTAATAGTTTTCTTTTCTTAAAATGTGTATACAATTTTTTTGGTACCCTCTGTATTCTCTATAAACATACTTTATTTCATTTTCTGAGCAGTTTATATATTTTAAATTTGATTGAAACCAACCAATCATTCCTTCAACAGCTATTTATTGATTCTTAAGAGGATACCTATTAAGAAAAAAAGGAAACTAAAAAAATTATAAAAGCACCTCAAAAATTTTTAGCATCTTTTTAAATTGTAAAATGAAATACTACTTTAGAACTTTAAGTTCATTGGACTTTAGGTATAACCAGTTCTCAATGAAAAGAAATATTAGCCCAAATTAAAACAAGAAAAACGATTCACTATTCTAAGTGTTGTTATGTATTAAATCATTTAATTCTTACAATAACTCTACTGTAAGGTGAGCATTGTTGTTTTTAAAACAAGAAGAGTTCTGGGGTAGACACAGAAACGAAAAAAACTGCACAATCTAACATACATGTAGAATCTAAAAATGTCAAATACATTGAAGCAGCGAGCAGAACAGTGGTTACCAGGGGCAGGAAGGTGGGAGAAACAGAAAGACGCTGGTCAAAGGGTACAAAGTTATAGCTATCTAGGATGAATAAGTCTAGAGACAATGTACAGCACGATGACTACCCTTAATACTGTATTGAATGCTGGGAACTTGCTAAGAGGTAGGTACTATTATTACCCTTCCTTTTTCATTGGGAATACAAAGGCACCAAGCAGTGAAGTTCCTAGTTCGTCATACAACTAGGAAGTGGTAGTCAGGATTCAAACCCAGAGATGACTGAAACTTTGTGCTCTGACACTCGTGACAGTGCACAATCAAAATTCCTAAGTTCTCTACAGAGTAATTCTATAAAAGGTGTCTATTAGTATTTTTTTGTCTTCAAAATCTAAATAACTTTCCACTTGAATCAAAAATCCTGATGAGGCCAAAGAACAACTCAAAATGTGTGTATTACTAACATGAGCATCCTGCAAAGAACCCTATGGAGAATTAGTTTCTTCTAAATATCTCCCTTTCTCTGATTAAAAATACTCATTATAAGAAACTTGGAAAATGCAAAAAACAAAATTCTCCTATAATCCCCAAACCTAGGTAATAACCATTAACATTTTATTTCCTTCTGGACTTTTTCCTATGCATGTTTTATATTACTCTTAAAAATTCAGCCTGTTACTGCCTTCACTTAAACATAATTATTCTATGAGTATTCCTCCATGAAATTCAATATTCTTTAAGACCATAATTTTTAATGGCTATACAATACCCCACAACGTATTTATTCTCCTTACTGGTTGCTTATTTATTCCTGGCTTGGTAATAGAGGATTGCAGGCAACAGAGGGTATATCTACCATTAATATTAGAGCATCATGTACTATACACAAGAGAATAACAACAGCCCATTTAATTCTACAAACATTTGGGCACCCTTGACATATGCCATGCTAGGTTGCAGCAGATACACCGATTTGGGGGATGTCTAGTTCCAATGCCCTCAGTTGATGGTATAAAAATATGAGAACATAAAATGACAATTCCACTTTGGGGTGTCAGGAATGTATCTCCCACAGCAAAAGGAACCAGGCTACGGCATGGCAGTATCTTAATGTGAGACTGTGAGACTGTGTGTGTGTGTGTGTGTGTGTGAGTGAGTGTGTGTGAGTGTGTGAGTGTGTGTGTGTGTGTTCAAAATGATGCTGCCAAGAATTCTAGCAGGGAAAGAAAGATTTCAGGACCTATTAAGACAGGGTAAGAAAGAGAAGCTGAAAGAGAAACTAAGGGGTGTCGGGGTGATGGAGAGAAGGAAGAGGAAGATAAAGGGGTAACGAGAAAACATTGGAGCTGGAGCACTAAAGGACCCTGCAGGACTAATGAGAAACAATGACAATTTTCCCTTCCTTCATCTCTCCCAACCTCCCTGCCTTAAGGCTGCTGTTCCTCTAGTGAGCAGCCCCATACAGAGCAGAAAGCAGGGACCAGGGCTAGGGAACTGGACGGAGAAGGCCCCATGACAGGCCTCCGCTGGCAGCAAAGGAGCAGTGTTAGGATATGCCATGCCGGAGAAAAAGAGAAGGAAGGACACCAGGGAAATTCTCATGATGCTGCAGAGAAGGTACATGTACGCCAAGCACAGGTAATCGGGAGACCAGTACAAGATAACGCACTGGAGGGGCATGGTGTCCAACAGACAGCAAAGCTCTGGGTTAGAAATGACCCCTGAAACCTTGTGATGAAGAGATGAGCAGTTTGTTTCAATAGGAGCCAATGCCAGTACATCCCTTCAGGTAGCAACTGGTCCTGAACCGATTAAAGTCAAATATGCCATGTACACACTGCACCTTCCCTAGCACTGCCTGCCGGATCTGAGCCATCCGATGGGCTGACTACAGCAGAGTGGCCTAAGCTCTGTAAGGGCAGGGCCTATGTCTCTTGTTCACCAAGACATCCTTAGCCACAGCAGGAATTTACCTGGACACACTGGTGATTTTAGGCTGCTTCTATGCTGATTAGTCAGGGCCTGTACCCTCACTGGTTGTTAATTTTTTCCCCCATCTCTAAGCACAATGCATGCAAAACTCAAATATTTGTTCAATAAATGACTGAATGAAAAAATAAATAAATTTTAGCCTACAGAAAGGAAAGTTTTATTGGGATTCCTCTGTATGAAGCCATTAAAACTTAGCTCAACTCCACAGTGAGGATAACTCAGCAAGGGCTCAGGACATAAGGAACTCTAAGCACCAAAGGAAAATTCTGACCATGCTTGCTGTTGTTTATTTAATCCCATCTCCTCCCCACCCCAAATGCTGCCTGGTAAGGAACCAGAATCTAAAAGATTTCTAGAATCATTGTGCTGGTGGTTCTGCCAGTGGCTCAGGCAGGGCGAGGCTTCCACAAAACCTGTGCTGAAGGAATCAGCGCTTACCATCACTTTTCCCGTCCAGCTGGAATTTCCTCTTCTTGCTGAATTTATTTGCCTGCTGGAATTTATTCTTTGGTATTTTATCCCCTTGCTGCTTATTCTTGAACTGCTTCACACCCTTTTTCCCTGGCTTTGTGGCACTTTTCTCAAAGTTCTTAGGTGTGATTTTAGGTCCACCCACCTTAAGAACTTTTCTTGGGAACGTCTTTAAAGAACCAGAATCTAGTGACAATAATAAATAATTATTAGTCCAATGACCCTAAGCCTAGATCTCTTTTATCCTCTGGGTTGCATTTGTTACAGAAAATTACACACTCTTTAGTGAAACATACTTTATCTTACTCTCAAATATGGAGCACAGTGGGATTTTAAAAATCAAAACAAAATTTAAAAACTTTCTCTCTGATTATAAAATTATAATACAGGTTCATTATAGAAAACCTACAAAGTAGAGAAATGCATAATAAAAACTATCCATAATTACAGAGATAACCAGTTGTCAGTTTGGTGCATTTGTTTTAAGCATAGAAGTGAAGTATTATTTATATGCCTTCATATTCTACTTTAATAACTCCATGTCATTAAAACCTTTATACATCATTTCCAATGGCTGAATAACATCATAGGAATCTAAGAATAAAATAAACACTGAAAATTTGTCTACCATGTAGACAAATTAAAGATGGTAATTTTTCAAAATTTCTGGTTTAAAAAATTTTTTTCAAAGCCTATAATAAAATTATTTGACAAAAATCTTTGATCAAGAAAGCTCGAAATTAAGTACTTAATAAATGAGATGAAAACTGCAACAGCTATGCCCTAAGACTGCTGCTAGGAAAAAAAAGATTTAGGAAACATTTAGTCATTTACACAGATCCTGACTTTTCTATTTTGCAATACTGACACCTGATGGAATAATAAAGACATCACAATCAGAAATCTTGAAGTTAAAAGTACTTGGTTTACTATTAGAATGTATTAATCAGCCACAATTTATCACGCATTTAAATAAAATGTGGTGAATTCGTGTGACTAATGAGGCAACAGCATCACTACCTGACATAAGGGGGTCTTTTAAGAGTATAACAACCCCCAAATATCCTTGCAATTTCTTAAATGTCTTTTTCACAGGGAACATGCAAACTCATAGACATTAACGTCCACTTTTTCTATTATTTTAATCCTAATCTGAACCCACCAATAGGCTGCACTCTGCCACATGCCCCCTCATCCCACCAACCCCTCTCCAATTATAAGGACCAAACAGCCACATGGGAAACATGTTTTGGTACAGCTAGCTTACCACTGTTTTTACGAAATCTGTTTTTTTCTTGTGATGTCTTTGTACTTTTTCCTGTAAATTTTTTTTTCGCTTTGACTTCCATCATAGCAACTCTGGAAAACAAAAACAAAACCCAAAAGGATCACTGGATTGCTCACATGTAGTAAGTGTCATTAAGTAGTCATTGCCACCTTTAGTACCTGAGTTCACAGATGCAGGACAAATCACCTGGGTACTCACAAAATCCAGAAGCTATACAATCACTGCTTCTAAGATTTTAAAACTGAAAATAAACAAAATAAGCAACGCAAAAACTAAGAACACACATACACTTTGGCTAGTGTGTAATGTATGTGGAGGCAACATTTCAGCAATACTACTGGCTAAAAACAGACCATTATTTACATTAAATATGATACAAGTGTCAGTGTTTGCGTTTCTTATAACGTGGGAAGACTTTGTGATGAGAAACTGATATTACCATTTGATTTCTTGGTCTCTATCCTAAAAAGCCTGGAACAAACAATAGGTTGCACTTAACATATATTCAAATTTAATGAACGAAAATTAAAAATTATCTAAAAGTTCCCTATGTAATACAATGCAGCTAAAACAAAGACTAACTTCACATGTTTCTTATTCTTTTAGAGGCAACCAAGTATTTCTCAGTGGCCTCCAAAAGATTATGTTTAAATATTTAGTATTTCATTTTGAGGAAACCATCTAACAGGTCACTTTTGGGTACAGAGGCCCCCCTGGTGCACAGGGCAGACAGCAGGTAACCTACCCAAGGCTCCTGAAAGCAGCAGAAGATATCAAGGGCAAAAGAAATTTGATTATTTCTCTTTCCAAAACTGTATATTCAAATCACTTCTAAAGTTGGCTCTCTAACGTAGATGCTAGGGATCCCCAGACAATACCATATTTCTGTGACTATTTCTCAGTCTTTACTTGTTTCTCATGACCAACACTTCTGAAGACTACCGGTCAGGCACTGTGTAGAATATTCTTCATTTGGGGTTTATCTGATATTTTCTCACTACTAGACTGGCATTATGGATTTTTTGGGAAGAATACCGGAGGTGACGTGCCCTTGACATCACATCATATTACGAGGAACCTGACTGGTGATATTAGCCTTGATCACTTGGTTGAGGTCATGTTTGCCAGGTTTTTCTACTATGCTTCCTTTCCATACCCTATTTATTAAAAGCAAGTCATTAAGTTCAGCTCAAACTGAAGGGGAGGGAAATGCGCTCCACTTGGTACAGAGAGGAGTATTACAGAATTTAAAATATGTATTTATAATTAGCATAGCAATTAATAAATATTTTGACGATATATGTTGAGATTATGCAATATTCTGTCTCTCCCAATGATTTTAGCTTTCTCCAGTGAATCTTGCCCACAGCAATTACTGTAGTGCTTTAATAGCGATTTTCTATTTCTCTCATTACTTCCACCTTTTACTATTGAATTCTTCTGTAGGGAAAATTTGTTTCTTCCTCATTGATTTATTTAATCATTTATTTACATCAGTATGATCTCAGAGATATTTTACTCCTTAGGTTATAACCTAATACTATCGTTATTTTGTTGTTCAAATTGTTCTGGCTTTGGACAGTGGGAAATTTTTCAGTTACTCTGTCCTTTTGACAAGCTCCATCTTTTTTTTTTAGCATGTCCTTACTTCCTGGCACTTGTTCCAGGTTAACCTTCTATCTCCCCTGCAGTAGCCCTGAAATCAGCAATTTATCCAAGGAACCAGGGTTCCTTTTACTGAGAATGGTATTTAAAAACCAGGATCTGAGTGCTAGGTATGCTTGCTGTCACTGCCTCTAGGCCTTTTCAGGGCTAATATATGTATGTATACTAACCTACATGTGCACACAAACCTATATTTCTCTATTACCTAAGTTCGTACCAATGTCTCCAACTAGAATCATGCTACAGGGTTCACACTCGTCTCCCGCTCTTGCTTATGTGTAACTTCTTTCTCTGACAGTGAGGAACCTGCCTCCCAGTATCAACAATCTGTGTACTGTTCACTCCTAGCACACATGTAGTTCAGAATTGCTAACTTGCACCCCCCAGGAGACACAAATTTACCAACTACAGTACAGTGTTTATTTACAGTTCTTTTATTCCCCCCCTCACATAATCAATCCATCAACGCTGTTTTCCAGTTACTTAGGTCTACTCTTTTCCCACTACCCTCTTCAGTGAGGTTATTTTATACATTTGTATCAGTTAGATTCATTTTGTCACAGTCTGCATTCCATTCCCAGGCATGTTGGTTGACTTATTTTTTTCATCTGCACATAGTCAAATTCACTCTTTGTGGTGTATAGGGCTGACTTGACACACGCAGAGTCATTTATCCTGCACTACAGCACCTTACTGTTGCATAACCCCAAAAAGTCCCCCATGGTTCCTCTTTGTAATCCTCCTCTCCTGGCTCCACTGGCAAGCTCTGATCCCATCTGTCTAGTTTTGCACCTTTTCAAAACTATCATATAAATGGAATCAGGCAATATGTAGCCTTTTAGGTCTTGCTTCTTTCACTTAAAATGCATTTGCTTGGGAACCCTGTACCTTCATATCCAGCTATCACTTTCCAGTGCTTCTCAGATTTGTCTCCTCTTTTCCCCTTCCCTCTATTATCTCATTCAGGATCTTTATCTTTGCTCAGATGGTTTTTTGCTGTTAGATCCAATCTCCTGTGTTCCACTCTCTGCTGCTTGATAAATCTTCTACTAACACACCTATTTCATGCCATTTAACTGCTTAAAATCTTCAAAACTTTCCCTGGCCTACAGGAAAAGTTTCAAACTCAGATTAGCATTCAGTCATTCAAAATTTGGTCCCAACTTATCCCATCACAAATACCATACTGGAGGCAAACTTACTTCCTTACTATTCTTTTTTAGGATCCAAACTTTATAGCTATTCTATTAATATAAATCCTACCCATCCTTCAAATCCGGTTTACACGACTATTTCTTATAATTTCTTCTCCAAATACCTCTCCTCTTTCCCAAATGACGCACCCTCTTATTCCAATGGCACATTTTGATGGCCTTTTTATAATTTAACACTTTGGACTTGAAATTTATTGAATACCTACCCACTATGTACTACAAAGCTATTGGGTTGAAAAAAATATGAAAAATAAAAGTGTGGTATCCTAGAGGAGACAAGCAAGCAATAAAGTAAAGCACCATGTATTTAAGCATTATAACTGAAGCATACATAAAGTGTTCAGGGGGCCACAGAGATGAGCTCAACTGTGTCTTGTGAAGGGAAACAGCAGATTTCCCAGAGCTAGAGCGACACGTGACTGAGCCTTCTTCAACTCCTCTCAGCAGACTTAGCACTGCGCTCTGAAAGTAGACAACGTTCAATACCTACCCTGTAAATGTTGGCATTCCTCAGGCCTCTCCCCCCTCTCTCCACTTCTCTCCACGTGACCTCATCCAATCCATGAAGCTTTCTATGCTTCCTCTATTAGGATGATCCCCTTGGGTTGGGCTCCCGGCCTGTGTATCTAATTGCCTACCTGACACCTCTGTTTATGTGTCTAACAGGCACCTGACCAGTAAGTCCAAAACATAATTCTTCATCTTCACTTCAAGCCACACCCAGGCATCCTCATCTTTTCCCCACCCTATTCTTCCCCATCTCAGCCAATGGTACAGCGTGCGCTTCACTGCTCAAGGACGAAACCTAAGATCTATCTATGTCATTTCCTTCTCCCTGTCTGCTACTTTCAGTCCTTCAGTAATTCTTCAATCCCCTTTAAAAATACCTCTAACCCTCCAATTTAGATCTCCATTACGACCTCTCGAATCCAAACCATCAATAAATATCATCTCCTATTATATAATCAATAATAATCCAAGTTACATACAGTTTTCTAGAGACAACCAGGACCTATCATGTGTCTCCCTTGTTTATAAGCCTTCACTGTTTTCTACACATAGGAATAGAAATAGGAACGGTTTCCCGTTGTAGAGAAAAATCTAAACTTCCCTACCAAGGCCTTCAGAACCCTAAAGAACCTCGAACCCCCTTACCCCTCTAACTTGAACTTTCTGTCTCCGGACGCCTAGTTCACTGTATTGGTCCCCTTTCTATAGCTCCCACCTGAGGAACTTAGCCCAAATTACTGCTTCTGCTTAAGCCCAGGTTTCCCCTGGGCTTCCAGATTTCAGGGTCGTCCCTCGTCATGCTCAGATCTCGGCTTAAGAGTCACTTCTTCAGACTCCCGTCCTCTGTCCCAGTACCCAGTTCGTTTCCATCCCAGCGCTCGTAACTTGCAGCGGTTACGAGTACATTCAGGTGGTAAACTGGGCACCTAGCACCGACCAGGAGGACAGCGGCTGTTTGTCACACGTACAACAGAGAGCTGAACGCAACCAGCACAGGCCTGGATGTTATAGTTCAGGCGAACCCAGCACTCAGGGCAACTTGGGAGGAAGGTGTCGTCAACCCGCCCGCGTCGCCAGGCTCCCGTCAACCCCCAAACTTCCAGAACAGACAAGGCCACAAAGCACTGTCCAGCGAGTGACAGGTGGGAACACCTCCTCTATCCGCTTTGGGCGACCCGCCTGGAGCGAACCCCTCCCCAAAGCGGCGGCCAGGTTCGCCACACTCACCGCACACGTGGAGCCCAGGCCGCCGCAGGTCCCGGCTCCGGCCGCCACTTCCGCTTCCTCTCCTTGCCCCGCCCCTAGGTCCTCCTCTTTTCTTCTTCCGCAGCGGAGCTGGGGTTAAGGGGTGGGGATTACCCGGGAAAACGGCAATTCGGCCTTTCGATTGGTCCGCTTCTATTTGTGTCCTGTCGACGCAAGAAGGGTGAGCCACACGCGGGATTTGGCCCTTGGAAGGATCCGTCGGGCGAGGAAGTGTCAGAGGCTCCGGAAAGTGACGTTGTTAACCCTGTGCTTTCCGCGCTGGGGAAGACACGGAGGCTTCTCGCGAGGGCTGACCAGTTGTTGCGGCCGAGACTAGGTTGGCGCGGCTAATCCTGCAGCCTGGAAAAATGCTACTGTAAAATAGTTGAAGTTTTTTGAGTGTGTTCATTTGCATCCTCTCTGACAGTCTAGCGTGGAAGATAAAAGGGATATCTCGGGAATTGGTTTGAATTGTAATCCTGGTTTTTTTCTCTTGCTAGCTGTTTGGCTTTAGGCAAATGACTAAATTTCTCGGAGCCTTGGTTACCTGATCAATAAAATGGAGATAGCTAAATCATGCATGAAAATCGCTTAATATAGTGAATGATCATGATAAGCGCTCAATAAATAAATCTTTGCCGTTTTTAACGTCTGCCTATTCCTTTAGACTGCATTTATCCCATTTTCCACTTCAGAAAATGAGACTGTACTTAGGACATTATATGATGAAACTGACACCACAAATGTGGTCGTGTCAAACAATAGAATTTATTTTTTAAGATACTATTGGCTAGAAGTCAGAAATCAAGCTGTTGGCACCTTCGTAGGGTTCTGGGAGAGAATCCTTGGCCGCTTCCAGCGTCTGGGAGCTGCAGGGCTTACTTGGCTTGTGGCTGCATGACTCCAACCTCAGCCTCTGTCTTCAAATGGACTCCTCTTCTGTGTCTACTGTCTGTTATAAGGACACGTGTCATTGAATTTAGGACCCACTGCCATAATCCAGGATGATTTCATGTGGAGGTCCTTATTTAATTACGTCTGCAAAGATCTTTTTCCAAAATAAAGTCACTTTCACAGGTTCTGGGGGTTGGGACACTGACATATCTTTCGGAGGGCCACCTGGAAAATTGAGGAATAAGGACTTGATCACAAGTGTGTCAAGCATCAGATCTTACTGTCTTCCCAATCATACTGTCTCTGGCCTCTTAAGGCATTAGGCTTAAGACCTGGTAATTTACTAGACTTGAGGGCAGGGCCATGTTTATTTTCCTATCCCACTACTCAGCACATAGATGTGTCGTAAGTACTTATTGTCTTCCTGAAGTATTATGTTTGCATTTCATCTCATTTAAGTCTGATGAGAACAATTCAAGTAGGTCTTTTACCCTCATCTCTTTGATCCAGTGAGCCTGACTCCAAACAACATGGCTACCTCTGGACTGGTTTCCCTCATCCATTATTTCTCCAGGAAATGCTCAAGAGGAGAGAATATGGAGCAACAATTACTAGAGGTACATCAGCCATGCCTATTAGTCAAATAGTATAGTACATGCAAGTAAAAAAAAAAAAAAAAGATCTTCACAAAAACACCCTACCACATATACCTGGACGGGATATTTTGTCACAGATAATAGCATCCCATATCCTCTCAGACAACCATATAGCTGTCTTAAATATATACACCAGAACTCTACTTATTCATCTGCCTTTTCAGTACAGAGAGAAAAAGTTATCACATATCAAAAGTCCTAGATTATTAATAATGTTATTTATCAAATCTTTTGTGCTGAAAAGGGGGATTGACTTGAGTGTTTTATTTGTTTGGAGTGAGTTGACAGTATCGTGGTTGTTGTAGAACAGCAACAAAGTTTATCCTATAATTTTGCAGTTAACCAAATTAAACCCATTAATTCTTCAAATATCTAATGATCTAAATGCTGAGCATTATGTGTATTGCTAGAAGCATGAAATGCTCTTAAATGATATAGCATACAATTTAATGAGAGCAACTAGACTTGATAACAATGTAATTATGAGGACTAGCCTTGGAATCACATGAATCTGGCTTAGAATCCAAGATTTGTGTGACCATGGACAAGACAGTCAATTTGCATAGGCCTCCATTTCTGCATATGTAAAATGAGTATATATAACAGCACTTACCTTTTGGGAATACTCTGACTCAAAAATGATAATAACTGTAAAGTTATTAGCCGACAGTAAATGCTGAGTACTTTATAGTGAGTGAGAGAGAGAGAGAGAGAGAGAGAGAGAGAGAGAGAGAGAGAGAGAGAGAGAGAGATACAGAGAGAACCAAGCTGTATTTATTAGAGATGCTTTTGGCTGAAAGTAATGGGACAGTTCAGCTAATAGTAGCTTAAGCTATCATTTTCTTCACACAAAATTCTGAAGGTAGTTGGCTGCTCTAGTTCAATGACTCAACAATGTCCTCAAAGACTCATTCTTTCAGTTTCTATGCTCCACCATGCTTGGTGTGTTGACTTCATTCTCCCACTTGTTGCTTTCATTTGTTTTTTTCCGTTTGTACCTTTTGACCACTTTCACCCACCCCACCCCCGCCTCTGGAAACTACCAATCTTATGTTTCTGAGTTCCAGTTTTTTTAGATTCCAAATATACTTGAGATTGTATGGTATTTGTCTTTGTCTGACTTATTTCACTGTTGCTTTCTGATTATCGCAAGATGTACTTCTCAGTTTCAGAAATTACATCAGAGTTCAGGGCTAGGAGAATGGAGAAAGGGATGAAACACATTTTTTTTTTTAACCCAGTTGGCCACTATTCTATCACAGAAGGAAAAGACCCAGAAAGGTTCCCCTTCTATTTCAGTGCCTAGAATTGGATCACATGGCCACCCAAAAGATTGAAAGACCATCAGATACAATGTTAACCAGGCATTTGGATTTCACTCTGTTTTTCAGTACCTAGTAAATTAAAGTAAAATTAAAGTTCACTTGGCAAATATGCTTCCATCCAGCAGTAGAGATTTAATTTGTAATTTAAACTAATCTGGTTTAAAACTTAAAATTGAATGGTAGTAAGCTAAAACTTAAAATAATAATGGTATCCATGGTGGTGAATCACCTGGGGAGTTTAAAACACAAAAAAGCAAAAGCAGTAATTCTGATTTAATTAGTCTGAGTGGGACCTGGGCATTAAGAATTTGGAAAGTTCCCCAGATCATGCTAACATGCAGCTAAAATTAAGAGCCAATTGTTTAAGGACTGGAGCTCCAGTTGTTGATTTGATTAGTTAACTGAGGATTAAACCCTGCAACCTGATCTCTCTTTTGCAGTCATGAGATTTCAAGAATTAAATGTATGATACACTTGTTTCTGTAAGTAAATTGTCTTGGACATAACTGTAATCTTTCTTGTTGCTTGAGGTCTCCTGTAGTGATTTAATGTCATTCAATACTGGAAATGGTTTAAATTTAAACTATGGTTTAAATTTGAAAACAAATGTATTCTAAAAAATGTTTGCTTTTTTTCAATTCCTCATGTTTTTGTGCAATTTTCCTCTTTTCCATAAAAATAAAGTGTGCTTAGGTGTCAGCTCCCACATATCTCCCTTCTCCCAAATCAGTTTCTTTATATAGTTCTAATTAATGGATTTTTAACTAATTGCTGTTGTTTCTCAAATGCATAAGCAGGAATAAAGGACGTGTTATTGATATAAAGCATAAATGAGATTTTGGCAAAGACTGGGTTTTATTTTCAGAACCTATTAGAATCATAAATCCATGGAAATGGAGCAGTTGCCAACACATTTTCCTTTAGAAAAAAAAGAGCTGCTTGTCAGTAGGGAGCATTATGTTTTTAAATACCATTAATTTACTAAAAAGTGTATTAATATAATCTAAGAATTAACTGCATATTTATAATGTTCTGGTTGCTGTCTAATAAACACAAAATTGACCTTGTCCTAATTTACTGTCTTTGGTGACATGCTTAGGAGCAGCAGAAAAGTCATATGACAAAAATGAAAGTTTATCTAATTGTAGTATAAAGTACTAGCTTTAGTGAAAGATCATGTCAGCGTGTGATGGAGAAAAAAAAAAATCAAGATTAGTTCATATCACTTAGAGCCCACAAATTATCTTGTGTACAGATAGCCCTTAAATGGCACTGTGATTTTGTAAAAACAAAACTCAAGTGATATGTACCAGCTGTGGGTTTTAGCTAGAATGAGGACAATTAACATGTTTTTGGTTTAAGCTTTTGTTTAAATGTTTTTAGGCTTGATCAGAGGTATGTGTACAATTTTCTATGCCATTTTATATAAGAAACTTGAGCATTTACCATTTCTGGTATCCATGGGGGGGGGGTCCTGGAAGCAATCCCTCTTGGATATTGAGGGTTGACTGAAGTTAAGTTTTTGAGGAGTCAAGAGCTATACGCAGATTTCTACTAGGCATCCCTAACCCCTGCATTGTTCAAGGGCCAACCGTATTTCCTTTGGAAAGTAGTGGCTGGTTTTGGCTTTTTTGTTCTCCTTGATTTATAAGTAATAAAGACTTGATAACCAAGCATGTTAATAATTTTTAAATTACCCCTCTCATTGTACTTTTAAAAATTATATAAAGTTTAAATCAGGACTTACAGTGATGTTTTAGCTCTACCTACCTGCCCAACTTTCTTCCTTCTTATAAGGTGAAGATTAACCAACTAGCTTAAACCCATGATGCCAGGTTGATTTCTCCAGGAAGCAGATGCCAGGATAGAATCAGGAGGCCAAGAAATGTACTGGGGGAGAAAGCCTGTGAAACAAGGAGAGAGCGAACAGGAGTAGGGGTATGAGCCTCACACCATAATGCTGATTTGACACCTGTGAAGGGAGAGGCAGAAGGGAGGAGGATGTGTAGAAAGATCCTGAGACTACAGTAGAGCTCTAAGAAAGTCTTGCCTAGGCCAACATAGAGCTCCAGAGCAAAGACTGCCCGTCGAAGGAGGCCTCAATTGGTTAGGAATGGCCTGGCTCTAGTACCCTTTTGTGCTCAGTCACTGGCTG